CTCGTTAGCTAGTCTTCAACATCTGAGAATATTCTGCCCTACCTCGATTCATCGTTCTTCTCTTAGCCACTACGCAACCTGGTCCCCCATTTTGTCCTTTCACAACAAGGAATGTTCGCATTCACCAAACCCACTTGGGCCGTCTGACCCAGATGGTATCCGGCCAACCATGCTCAATAGTTGAGCGGCAGAGCTATCCTTCGTCTTTCCTCTCAAGGCTCGCTTTTATGCCATGTATTCAAGCTTTTGAAAACTGGCTGACATTTGTTCGATCCTTAGGCCAAGAGGATTCCGTGATTCATCCAGTTACCATCCCATCTTCTTCGTCTCATTCCCCTCTGAAATCTTCGAACTAGCAATTGCAAAACAACTTCGCTGGCACTTGCGGACTGTAAATGCCTCGCCAACCATAATTTGGCCTCCGTTGTCACAGAACCCTGGTAAATTGTTGGTTTATAAGTACCGCATTTGGTCCTGCATCATCGGTAAATCCCCCCGTGGTCCACTTCGATACCTCTAAAGCGTTTGACCGAGATTGATTTAGCGGTCTCATGACCAAACGTTTCAAGTTCGCACTCTTCCTGTGCTTCATCACTGGGATATGAAGCTTTCTTTGCGGGCACTCCCTCTCAACTGAACTTCAATAAATCATTTTGAGGGTGGCATTATCTAACTTCCGCGTGCAACATAGTTCCGATTCATCTCTCACCTGTCCCCTTATATCAATTGACAACCTTTCATTTCAAACCCCTAGTCTCATCCACACGTTTGCGGACGATGCTGCCCTCAATCCTTCTTTTTGTTACAAAACTTCTCATACTTCCTATGTCAAGATCACCATTACGATCTGCTGTCCGTTTCTGTTCCGCCTGGGCCAAACCGGAATGACATTGCTACTGGCCAAACAACTTGTATTTTTGCATTCCATAAGCATTATCCCTGTATACACACTGCACGTTTTGACTGTTATTCACTCGGATATAAATATTCTGGAGTTCTTGAAAGCCTCAAAATCGTCTCTATTATGGCTCGGTCTACTCNCTCCACGCCACACGGTCCTATACTGTTTATAAAGTTCATACTAATTAGAAGGCCCAAACTGATTCCCCGATGAGGCATGGAGATCAAGTTTACGGCAAGGCTTACTCTTCTTATTTGGAACATTTTGGCAATGATCAGGAAAGATTCCTTGCCCTTGAAGCCGAACCATCTCCAAAAATCCACCATTCAACCACTTGTTTTGGAACAATATTCTTCACTTCGTTTTTCCTACTGATTGTAATCTTTTCAGAGCAGAACCTGCAAGTTGCCCTTTAAGGTAACATATTTTCCTATTCCCGCTGTGGAACAGTATCACTGACTGAGGTATGTACACCTTCGGCCATAAATCTGGCTTTCTATGAAATCGAAAAAACAAGAAAGATAGCACGAAAACCTCTCATCCACAGTTGTATAGGTAAAGTGACAAATGCTTATTCAGGAAAGAACGGACATTCAAAGATTGTTTGACAATTTTATGTTAGAATGGCTCTGACACTGCCTGCTTTTGTTACATTGCAAAATGATACCTAAAGTAACAAAATGAAACCCAAGCTTATGTGATTCCTATAACATCTTTTATCACGAACTATTGCGGTAATCAATTCTACAGGCAGTGTTCATGATACCACCGTTCGCTGCGCAATAAAAATCACTCAATTGGACCGAGTAGCTTGGGCGGAACTTTAACGTTTCATCAATCCATTATTTGTTTGTTGTCAACATATTGAACTTGTTAGTATCAACCGGCATTCTACTTCTGGTTTCTTTCCTTTTTCATCTACCTTATCATTTCTTTGCTTATCTAATCAAGTCTATCATAACCAGTCGGATGTCACTTTTTGCGGACGGACACGAACAAGTGCACATTCAAGGCGCATCCTACAACAAACTTTACACGAAAAAGAAACTTATTCGTTTGTGAAATAATACGCATGTGACACAGCTTAGATGGAGAAACATTTTTCACAAAGCAGCGGTGCTTACTTAGCCATACGGACAGAAAATACTGTTTTCAAAATTGAAAAGCTGAAGTAGATGTATATGAATGTAGTGAACTGAATGGTTATCCGCAAAAGTGTCGAAAAACTACGGTTCAAACTACAAACTCTAGACGTTGATTCGGCAATGCTACAAGCATTGATAAGCCAAGCACTTTTCCACAATTTTTGTTCGAGATATCCAATTTAGATTTGGTTCATCAGTCAGAGTTTTCTTTAATTATTTATAATAAAACCGATAAGCACTAGATTTTGTCATGTTTAAAGAGAAAATCTTCGATTGATGTTTACTTTTTACATCATTCATTTGGATTAAGGTAATAGCGGTTTACTATCCGATTCCGAGGGGATTTTGTATGTTTATCCAAACCTCGTGAATGTCAGTTCACCTGAAAAATGATAACACCAAACGCTAGCACGTGATTCTCAAGCTTTTCTGCTAAAACCAAAGAGCTATTCCAAACTACCATGTTTTTAAAGTGGTTCCCGTGAAGTTATCTAATATTTTTGAATTATTAGTCTACCTAAACCCACCATTTCCCCAACGCACTGCATGCAACATTCTAATTTCTTTCTGTTTTTTTTAACGAAATGGGCAAGCAAAATGCGGTGACCGAAACATTCGTTTGAAAATAGCAAGACTAATGGCTGTGTAAACTGAAACCATGTTGAGGTTCTACTGTAACACGCAGTCAGTCCCCTGATAACGTGCATCCTCGACCTAGGTGAACTGTTGTGTCGCGTTCGATTGATCATCAAACCTTAGAAATTGCATTGCATAAAAAGGATAGACTAGAAAACATACTTTGACATAGATGGAGTTTTGATGATACGGTGCGATCACTTGACGTCTTTAATGCCGCTTACAGTTTGGCCTTGGCTGTGTAGCATATCTGAGTGATTCGCCATTTGCTCACCGTAACATTTGTTTTTCGAGGTAATACGGCACTTTCAATACTTCGGAGCAATAAATTTGTGGAGTCACATTTCCCTGGCAAGACTTTCTGGGCCGATTAATTCATGTTTGACGTAATCGAAAGCATGAATATTCACAGTGGAATGTCATGTCATTTCAGTGACCACTGTTGGACTGTTTACGGTTTTCATCACTGCTTCGGTCAAGCAGATTGTGTCACAGAATTTCTACCGTCGGTCTTTTAATCGCAGTCGGAAAGCTAGACTCTACTCACTCAAGCAGTTTGTCAATCACTGTGGTTTCCACTCAGACAACCAGTCAATCATTCGGTCACTTTGTTCGCCAACGTTTCGTCTTTCATTGGTATTGCTTCTTAAAAACACGCAAAGGCCATGTCCCGCTTTCACACACACACGCAAAGATGTACAGGCGCGCACACTTACAGACCCCATACAGTACAACAAACTGCGATTTGCTTCGTGCATCCGCACACTAAAAGAACAGGCACGAATCAAAGTTCACTTGGATAGCTTTTTTTCGGTTTTCGTATCCTTCGCCGAGCGAATCCTTCTGCGTGCACACGAAAAGAGGTGCGCAATTCGATCAACTCGATTCGAGACGTTTGTTCCTCTCATGGACCTTGCGATAGAACCAAAATGATTGTGAACCACTGTCGTTTGAATGACTGTCTGTTCTGTTTGTCGGTGTCTTTGTTTGATTGTTTGCTCCCACGACGCCCCCCCCTCCCCAATTC